GATATGTTTCATTCAATGGAACTGGCTAAATGTACAAATGAAAAATTGGTTTTGCTGTGATGCTTTCCTCTGGCGTTAAGTACTGCTGAAGCATTTTGAATTCACTGTGTGTATCCAGGCAGAAGTATGGTTTGTAAGACTCGACGCTAATCATATTTGGGGTTGTTACAGTATGAAGCATACGTGCGAACTCCAGGCGGCAACAAGCAGCCAGAGGATTTAATTAAAGAAACATTTATATTGAAATCTGGAGCTATTCCTGCTGCCAATACAACATAATGCATTTTTAATCAGAAAGCTGTCAAAACAACAAAATGCTCAGCTCTGTATTGCTTTCATCAGCAGGTACAGAAGGCACTACAGAACATGGTGCTTGTTGTTTTAGTCTCAGTAGCAAAGCCAATAAAAAGTGTAAGTAAACATAACCTGCCATCACACAGTGCTCTAATTGCCTCTCCCGCAGCCAGTGAGCCCTCTTTCACTTGTCCTGCCTGTGCTCCAGTGAGGATTGTATCACAGTTGTACTCTGTGAAAGACTGCAGTACCACCTGAAACTGAACGATGTCTACTTTGTCAGGGAAAAAAAGATATCTGGGAGTAATTACAAGTTGGTGATCTAATTGAGGAGTGCAAGTGGCGTAAAGCAGAAGAGCAAGCTTGAGCAATTTATATCTGTCCCCTGAGTCCAGCACTGACTTTGAATCTCTGCCAAGTATTAATGGGGTGAAAATTGGGATGTGTGATGCGTTAATTATCATATTGATGATAAATAGGTCAATGAGGTCAGTCGATAACCACAGACAATCGATAACTAAAGTACATCCTGTTGGTGGGGGCAGTATTGTTCTCAGCGGTGCATGTTATTGCAGAGGTTGGCAAGGATGTTCCATGCAATCGAAGGAGAAATTATATCCACTATGAATTGTCAACGATTGTCAGGCAATTGATGTAGTTTAATAGATTACTAGAAAGTACGAGCCAGTGGAATTAATAAAATGATAAAGAGTACCAACTGACAGGAAAATAAGTTTTTCGCCTACAAAATTTACCTAGCAGTAAGTAAGAACCCGGTTGTTAGTCGATTGGTGGATCGCTTTTCCAGGGGTAATAATTCCTTTAAAAAAATAATAAATTGGTCACTTAATCCAGTGTTTACAAGACACTGCTGTATACAATTGGCTGCCGAGTTTCGCCCACAAAATATACAGTCAGTTCACTTTACAGCATATTCTGTGAAGTGCTTTGAAACGTCTCGAAGAAGTGATGAGGCGCTATATCAAATGCAAGGATTATTATTATAAAATGTACAGTTATTACACTCTACAGCAAATCCTGTAAAGTGCTTCAAGATGTTTCAATGACAAGATCACTATATCATAATATCAAATGCAAGGATTGTTATTATACAATAATGAGAAACAATGATTCAAAGGATTTCAATGTTTGAGAAACCAGGTGTTTGCAGATGGCAGTTAAAGCATGAAGATAGGATAATACTACTAATAATGATAATAATAATAATCCTTGCATTTGATATAGCGCCTTATCACGTCTTCAAGATGCCTCAAAGTGGTTCACAGAATATACGTGTGGTGACTTTGTATTTTTGTGGGTGAAATGTGGCAGCCAATTGCACACAGCAGTGTTCCACAAACAGCTGTGGATTGAGTGACCAAATTATTGTTGTTTTTGAATGGATTACGTTGAATGAATGGAACAATCGTGTGGTGGTCAAGAATGGGATTTGGGGATGACTGGAAAAAAATCACTGAAAATATCAGCGCAGTAAGTCTGCAGTAAATGAACGGCAAATAAGATACTTGTCACATCAATATAGAGATGAGATACAAGTTAAAAGAGGTGGTCCCGTGTCTAATTTATGAGGATGTGTATAAAGTATTTATAAATATTGAATGCTGCACATTACCTTGATTTGTCTAAAGATGACTTGTCATAACTCCTCTCAGATGCCTATTTCAGATTTTCTTTTGTCACAAACCAAGTATCACCTTCTTCCTTGATTCAAGTTCATGGAAGTCGGAAATGAGATTGGCATCTGTGCACCTTAAGACCATTATCATCAATTGAACCTTAGTGTTTCGCCCACCAAACCTATTAGGAAGAATTGGTACCGAATTAAGAATGAATTCAAGAATTTCCAAAAATGTTGCATGACCTTAAATTTTAAGACAGTGGCCATAAGGCTAAGAGCAGATCAATTAAGTCATCGGGTCTCAGAATTTTTGGTTACAAGGAAAAGTTATGAAGAAAAGAGATGAGAAAGTTTCAAGATTTATATGGAGTCCTGTAGCTCAGTGGTTAGAGCACTCGCCTCTCAAACGAGAGACCTGGGTTCAATTCCCAGCAGGGTGAAACCTTGGGCAAGTTCCCGCCACACGCCTAATAATAATCCCTCAAGAAAAATAAATAAATTGGTCACTTCAATGTTTGTGGGACATTGCTGTGCGCAATTTGGCTGCCACATTACGCCCACAAATATACAGTCAATTCACTTTACAGTATATTCTGTGAAGTGCTTTGAGATGTCTCGAAGATGTGAAAAGCGCTATATCAAATGCAATTTGTTATTATTATTATTGTTATTATAGATTATGAAGGGAGTTGATTTTTCAATGTGATGAAGGTTTCAAATATCCAGAAAATAGTAATTATTTGCATGGAGGGATTCTGACATAAGGTGAAAAATAGGAACTCGTGAGTAAGCAAGTAGGTTCACAAAACATTATGTTTCCACAAATAATTGTTGATTAGATTATTTGTTGAAAAACCATCATGTTGATTGATTCAAGAGGCAACTAGATGTTATTTTCTGGAAACATACAGTACAACAACAACAACATTACATTTATAGAGCGCCTTTCACGTCGGGAGGATGTCCCAAAGCGCTGAACAGTCAGATGTCGGGGCCCAAGCATGGGGGAGAGGTGGTGTAGGGGTGAGGGAAGGCAGAGAGGTGGGAGGGAGACCAAAGGCACGGTCGAAGAGAAGGGTCTTGAGACCGGCCTTGAAGGAGGCAAGGGAGGAAGCGAGGAGAAGGGACCGTGGGATGGAGTTCCAGAGTGTGGGGCAGAGAGGCTGAAAGCCCGGCCGCCGATGGTAGGGCGGGTCGGGCGGGAGACATGGAGCAGGCCTACCATCGGTGGAAAAACCATCATGTTGATTGATTCACGAGTCAAATAGATGTTATTTTCTGGAAATATACAGTAAATGGATTGAAGGAAATGGTGAGAAGGTGGGGAGCTGGGTTTGAGGATTGTCAAAAAAGGCTAGATTTAGTAATCATAGAAATTTACAGTGCAGAAAGAGATCGTTTGGATAATCGGGTGTTACCGGGTTTCAGAACAAACTGCACTTTCAATCTCTTTGTCCCAATACCCAAATGCGAACGCACTCTCTCCCTGGAGAGAGTGCATATTCCATTCTAACAATCTATCTCTGGAATTGCCATGTATATGTGGGATGCATGGAATTTTTGAATACTCTTAAGCATGGTGATGGGATTCCGTATCACACAGCCAGGTGGCCCCCCAAAAATTCAAGCCTCTCACTTTCATATACCTTCCTGAAGAATACTCGAAACATATTTAAATGTATATTTGTGTCTTTTTTAAGAATGCAAAAGATATATTTTTTATGTAATAATAATAATAATCCTTGCATTTGATATAGCGCTTTTCACATCGGGAAGACGTCCCAAAGCGCTTCACAGAACACACTGTAAAGTGAATTGACTGTATATTTGTGGGCGAACGCGGCAGCCAATTGCGCACATCAATGTCCCACAAACAGTCGTCGATTTAAAATGACTAATTTATTATTGTTTTTGGTTTTGGAGTGATTATTATGTAGGTGCATTTTTAAGACAGAAAAATAAACAATTGCCGCCAATAATGATTTGTACAGTCTGGTGATAGTACATTTACAAGGTCCAGATGCTTCAGGTTTAATGGGATGTATTGGTGCCAGAATAACAAGTGTATAGCGCGCCTGTGAAGTAGTATTTGATAGATACAAGTTGTAATGAAATTGGAGTATTTAGCAGACCAATTTGCCCAGCATATCATTCCAGTACATACCAAAGTGGAACAAAGGTTGTGCATAGCACTCAGTCTGGAATACATTAGGTCTGGTTGCAGTATAGATTTGTGTTCTGCTCCTAAATATACTGAGGAGATGGTAAGAAACCATTAGAACAAAGGTGTGATTGACACCTGGTAAAGATAGACATGCTTGATTCAGTAGAACACATGAAACGTTGTCACTTGTGCATTGTGTAGTTCCTTTACATTGAGAAAATGCAGTGCACCAGAACGTGCATGGTAGATACTATTTCAACTAAAAGCCCATAGCTTTGTACAGTAATTGTTTAACAAATAAATTACTTAATTGTTAATTAACTCTGTATCTAAGTCTGGGTGTTCAGTAATACGGAGTAGATATTTTGAGTTAATAATAATGATTGTTAATAACATAGTTAATGAATTATCAGTGGATTGATTTATTTAATAGAGGCTTTGAGGGCAGTGTGAGGTGTAGCACAAACCCAAGCAGATCGGAAGGTCACAGGCTTGATTCCCGGCATGAACTAACTTATTTAATCTCACTGGAGGCAACATTTGGAATGCTATAATTGGTCTGAGTACTATGGGGCTGGCCAAAGGGGAAATAAATCAGCAAGGTTTTCTGCTCCTTTTTGCTTGCTGACAAGTAAGTGTGCATGGATACTGAATAAGAACAGGGTCAGGGTTGACCTTTCTGCAATCAAATAACTCATTAACACTCTCAGATCACCCTTGAAGAATAATCATTTGAATATGGTACCAGAGGGTTGCTGGCACCTGTAGATCCGTGCCCAAGTCAGAGTCTGCATCTTCAGGAGAGGTAGAGAGAAGAAAAGTTTGAGAAAATGAACAAATAACATTTGTGTACAGTTTTCTCTTTTATCTCTGCTGAATGCCCTCTTGTTTCTCTGTTTGCAGGGGCAGATGTTATCAACTTTGATGGCTACAGCCTGTTGTCCTTCAGGTTTAAAAATAAGAAAATGCGATCTTTAAAGGATATAATTTTACTGAAGTTTAAAACGTCTGAGAACGAAGGCGTTATATTCCATGGAGAAGGACAGCAGGGCGACTACATAACGCTTGAAATCAAAAAAGCAAAGCTGGTTCTTCATGTGAATTTAGGTAATTTTTATGCTTTGATTGTTTTCTGCATTAAATGTAAAGTGCAGCACCTTTTTGTTTGATCAAAATGGGTTTGTCACGCACTGATCTACCTATCTTTCCATGAAATGTTTATAATGGAATTTCTCATTGTTAAAGTGTAAATAAATAACTAATGGTAGCAGTGTGTCAGTCTCTTTGCATGTAATACATGGAATACACGAGACGACAACTATATTACAGATAAATTAAATCAAAGAGGATTACTGAGAATTATCCCATAAGTGATGTTGTATTATGTTATTTCCCAAGCTTTCTGGATGGGGGAATTATACTGTTGCAATTCAATATTTTTTCATTTAAGAAACAGCTTGCATGTTGTGGTGGGAAGACAGAAAAGTTTGTGTTGTGGAGGATGAGACCGAAGGGCCTTCTTCATCCAAACCGATCTGTGGTAACCGTATCATAGTCCTTCAGATGAAACGTTAAACTGAGGGCCCATCTGCCTGTTCAAGTGTGGCATTAAAATTCCCAATGCACTCTTTGAAAACAGAAGGGAATTTCTCCCAGTGTCCTGGCCAACAATCTCCCAAATAAAATTGGTCACTCACTCCATGGCTGTTTCTACGACATTGCTGGACGCAACTGACTGCTGCATTTTGTCCACCAAGTACATGGTCAAAAACCACTTCACAGTATATCCTATCAAGTGCTTTGCGACATCTCGATGATGTGATAAGGTGCTATATCAAGGATTATTATTATTACTTGGAAGTTGTAGTTTGGGGAGTTGGGAGGCAAGGACTCTGAGTTCATTTAAAAAGCATCTTAGTGCTGCAATGGGGAAATGGTTAGGGGGGTGTAAATGCTCCAAGACGGTACCTGCACAAGATAAATGCAAGCAGTTGATGTTGTTGTATTATGGTAGGATGAGATCAAATGGGGCAAAAGGCATTCTTCACATGAGTTTCCCTTGAAACGTTGGGAGGAAATATATTGTGACCCTCTCAATGTGCCCTTGCTCATGTAACTCAATATTGTGTGACAGTACCAAAGTTATATTGGGGTATAAAAGATAGTTGATGTGATTCAATGTGTAGAATAACTATTCATCAATATGTTACAAGACAGTAATATTGCTCATAGTTTAGTTTTAGTGACATTAGCATCCACTTTCAAAACCCTTCTTAAAAACCTATATATGCTTATATGCTGTTGTAGACTTCTGTTAAAGCAATGCAGGTTGATTTTTATCAAACAGCGCTCATCTATTTCTGTGGTAGTGTTCAACCCAGCAATGCCAAGAGCTGAATTCACAAAGGATTTTATCTTGGACTAGTGTATAGCAGGAACATTGACTTCCCTTCTTATTTTTGAAAGGTTTAATCATTGCCTCTTCTGTTAAGAGGACACAAATTAATGCCATAGGCGGTAGGCACAGTAAATAAAATGAATCACACAGAGGTAAGCAGAGGTGTGTTTAGGGAGCAATTACAGATCTGAATTAATATTTGGAATGGGTGTAATGTGAGTTTTTAGAACAGTAACTGCTGCAATATTCTTTGATCAGCGATCAAATTAATCAACTGTCCTCGGCAGCTTTCAAGAATACCGGTTTATGTAAAATTATCTTTTCAATACTCAGTATTATTTCGTTAAATTAGATAAATATAAGGAAGGACAAATTGATGTGAAATGTGATTATCACATCAAATTAGTTATGAAACACCACAAATTTGCATCTTTTCCTGGCAGTTGTATTTTCAGTGCCTTGGCACGTCTTTCTGACATGAAAAATGCTATATAAATGTAAGTTGTTGTTGCTGTTTGTCCTCGCCTCCCCCACCCTCCGTGACCTTGGCACAATACTTGAGCTCCAAAATGTTAGCAACCAACATTGCTATTTTCAATTGTAGATTGTAGGGTTTCTACGAATCCTCACGGGATATCAGCTTAACGTAATTGGTATCCGATGAAGTAACATTCAAATGCCAGCTATGGAGGAAGAAATAAGAATCTAGATTTTACATTCAGTTAACACAGTGATTCATTCGAGTCCTGGGGATTGAGTAAATTATAAAGTAATGAATTCCTGGGAGTGATTCCTGAGGGCTTCAGTTGAAACCACCCTTGCATAGATTAATGACCTCAATTCACAGAGGCAGTGTAAAGTAGTTGAATTTGCAGGTGTCACCTCATTGGGGGAATCAGAAGAGGCAGCAAAGGTCATACAAAAAGAGAACTTGATAGGGCGGCCACATGAGACGATAGCTGGCAAATGAAGTTCAAAACAGCTGAAAATAAGGTACGACATATAGGAAGTAAAAATATAAGGCACATGTAGTCTGTGGATAGGATAGAACTTGCCAAAAGGGAAAAGTGAAAGAGATTTAGGGGTATTAATTGACTCATCACTTACCATGTCAAACAGTGTGAAGCAGCAATAAGCAAAGCAAACAGATGCTGGGTTATATTGCCAGATCAGCTAAGTTCAGATTCCCAGATGTCATACTCAAGCTGTATAATGCTCTGGTCAGGATACACTTCAAAATATTGCATAGAATTCTGGTCGCAGTGACCAAAGGGGGCTGATCAGGCCCTAGAGGCCATTCAGAGAAGGACAACAAAGATGATCCCAAAATAGTGAGTTGTGAGCAACAATTAGACAAGCTGGGGCTCTCCAGTCTTGAAAAGAGATGTCTTCGAAGGAATCTTATTGGAAGTGTATACATTTTCAATGATGTTGAGAAAATTAACTCAGAACAATGTTTTCTGTTGGACTGAAACAGCTGAAAAAGAGGACACAGATTTAGAGTTGCATAGAGCAATTTCAGCACAGGCACAGGCAAGTATTTCTTTACTCGGAGGGTAATTAACAACTGGAACAGGTGGCCATAAAAGCTGTCTGAGGCCAGGATACTGGACTCATTTGAAAAACTGCTGTGATAGGAGGACAGTGGGTGGGTATTCTGCAAAGATGAGATCAAATGGGTTGAAGGCCCTTCTTTATGTACATTCTCTTGTGATTCTTGTGAACCATAAATCCAGAGAATAGAGATCAGGCTGTTTATATATTTCCTCTGAACCCTCAATTGGATTACTCTTCAACTTATCTCGGCAGCATTCATTATGTATGGAGTTAATTATCTAGTACTTCTATTTAATTTGGAGATTGCTATTTTGCTGACAGCAGCATTGAGAGCTGGCATCAAAGGTACATCAGTACTCTCCATGTCTTTTAGATAGTGTGACATTAACTGAGCTATTTAATAATAATGCTTGCATTTGATTTAGCGCCTTATCATGTCTCCGAGACATCTGAAAGCACTTCACAGAATATACTATACTCCCAACGTAAAAATTGCTGTGTCAAATGCAAGGATTACTATTATTATTTCTGTTTAGCAGCAGTGAACTCCAATTATTTTTGCCCACCCCAGAGTCAATGTTTGAGTGCTGCTTCTAAGGAAAAAAAACAGCTTGATGCTGTGATGGGAGGATGGGAGGGTAAATATTCTGGAAGAATGAGATCGGATGGACTGAAGGACCTTCTTCATCCAAACTAATCTTGTGATCTTGCAATACTGTTTAAGCAAATATCTTATTTTTTGCTGTATCAAAATGCTGCGTGTTGTAATTTGGGGACATGGAAATCTTCAGGCCAAACCACTGCAACCAAGTAATAAGGAGCAGGAGGTAATAAGTAATGTGTTGAACTTTTTGTGAAGCAATCATGGTCACTGAATACAACAACAAGATTACATTTGTATAGCGCCTTTCACGTCGGGAGGACATCCCAAGGCACTGGACAGTGTACAACACTTCAGACCCGAGCTGGGGTCAGGGAGGGAGAAGGGAGGGGTGGGGAAGGGGGGTGGCCGATGGCATGGTCGAAGAGGAGGGTCTTGAGGTGGAACTTAAAGGAGGCTAAGGAGGGGGTGAGGTGGAGTGATTGGGGGCTGGAATTCTGGAGGTTGGGAGCAGAGTGGCTGAAGGCTCTCCCGCCAATGGTGGGGCAGGTGAGTCGGGGGACGTGGAGCAGGCCAGAGCTGGCTGAGAGGAGGGAGTGGGTGGGTTGGTAGGGTATTAGGTGGTCGCAGAGGTAGGGTGGGGTGAGGCCATGAAGGGCTTTGCATGTGAGGACCAGGATCTTGAACTGGATCCTCTGAAGGATAGAGAGCCAATGGAGTCGGGCGAGAGTGGGGGAGATGGGGTCACGGAATTTGGTGTGGGAGAGGACACGGGCTGCAGAGTTCTGGATAATCTGCAGCCTGTGGAGGGAGGAGTTGGGAAGGCCGACAAGCAGGGCGTTTGCATAGTCGAGCCTGGAGGTGATGAAGACATGAACAAGAGTTTCAGCGGCCTGAGGGGTGAGGTAATGACAGAGTCGGGCGATGTTACGGATGTGAGGGAAGGCAGAGTGGGTCATGGCTTGGATGTGGGGAAGAAAAGACAGTTGAAAGTCGAACAAGAAACCTAGGTTCCTGACTGGCTTGGTGAGTTGAAATGTGCAACCATGGAGGTTGATGTTTCCAGAGCCTGAGGTGCTGAGGCGCTGGCGCGAGTCAATCAGGAGGACCTCAGTCTTGTTCACAGTCAACTGTAGAAATTTGCCCTCATCCAGGACTTAATGTCCGACAGGCAGTCTGTCAGGACAGCAGTGGTCCTGGAGTTGAGGGTGGAGGCAGAAAGATAGAGTTGGGTGTCATCCTCATACATGTGGAAGTTGACCCCATGTCTGCGGATGATGTCACCAAGGGGGAGCATGTAGATATTAAAGAGGAGAGGGCCAAGGACAGAGCCCTGGGGGACGCCAGACGTGACAGTGCGGGGGCTGGAGGAGAAACCGTTAGTGGCAACAAAGTGGAGACAGTGAGAGAGATAGGATTTGATCCAGGTAAGGGTATGGTCCGCGAAGGTTAAGTAAAGAGGAGAGGCGGTGTATGAGGATGGAGTGGTCAACAGTGTCGAAGGCGGCAGAGAGTTTGAGGAGGACAAGGAGACAGATGGAGCCCTGATCA